ACTAGTTATAACATTACTTCACATTGGACAACACATTAAGGACAGATCCCACATGAGGAGTAAGTACACAGTGACTCCTGTTGTTGACTTAACAATTTGACACTCTTGTTTATGGCATCAGTAATCTCCCTAGGCTCTAGTCATGAGTTGCCAAGGCTATGGAAGCCTTTTGAGTTCACTGACTTCGATCTTATTCAGGCAGGGTCTTAGTCAAAGTGGAAGTTCTCTCCTCCCTTCAGAGAAAGGTACCTCCTTCTTTGATGGCCCCATTCTTTCCACTGGGATCTCACTCGCAGAGATCTTTCATTTAGGTCTCCTTTTTTTTTTTTTTTCCCCAGAGTGTCTTCGCTTTCCATGCCTCAAATACTCTCCTGGGCTCTTCAGCCAGATCCGAATGCCTTAAGGCATTCTGAGGCCAGAGTGCTATTTAGGACATCTGTCATTCTATGAGTCTGCTGTGTATCCCACTTCCCATGATGGATCGTTCTCTCCCTTTTTGATTCTGTCAGTTAGTATTAGCAGACACTAGTCTTGTTTGTGTGATCCCTTTGACTCTTAGACCTATCATTGTGATCAATTGTGAACTGAAATTGATCACTTTGACTAGTGAGATGGCATTGGTACATGCCACCTTGATGGGATTGTATTGGAATCCCCTGGCACGTTTCTAACTCCACCATTTGGGGCAAGTCCGATTGAGCATGTCCCAAATTGTACATCTCCTCCCTCTCTTATTCCCACTCTTATATTTAGTCTGGAGATTCTTCAGAAACCTGAATATAACCCTACCATACAACCCAGCCATACCACATCTTGGAATTTACCCAAAGGAAACTAAATTGGCAAATAAAAAAGCTATCTGCACATTAATGTTTATTGCAGCTGAATTCACAATAGCTAAGACCTGGAACCAACCCAAATGCCCATCAACAGTAGACTGGATAAAGAAATTATGGGACATATACTCTATAGAATACTATACAGCAGTCAAAAACAATGAAACCTGGTCATTTGCAACAAGATGGAGGAATCTGGAAAATATTATGCTGAGTGAATTAAGCCTGTCCCAAAGGGACAAATATCATATGTTCTCCCTGATTGGTGACAACTAACTGAGCACCAAAGGGGAAACCTGTTGAAGTGAAATGGACACTGTGAGAAACAGTGACTTGATCAGCTCTTGTCCTGACTGTTGATGTACAATGTAATACTTTATCCCTTTTAGTATTTTTTTTTGTTCTAGTACTATTGGTTGAACTCTGTAATTAACACACAATTATTCTTAGGTGTTTAAATTTTAACTGAAAAGTGATCCTGTTAACCCAATTTTTGAACCAATCTATATTGGCTTTAGTTAGCAACATAAAGGCTTGCATACACAGAATTTACTCTCATTTTTTATAGGACTACTTTAGCTGGAAAGCAGTAACATGAATACACCATAGGTCTGACATAGTTTATAACCTTTTAATGTACTTTACATAATCTGAATTGACTAAAAAAAACCTGTTATTTTAACAAATTGAGAGTCTCGTCCTTTGAGAATTCCAGGGATCCGACTGGAAGCCTCAACATCAGAAGACTCGGTTTAGAAGTTAAATTGTCAGAGAGTCAAGCCGTTCAGCCAAAATAGTACGTGCAAGGTGTCTGGTGTATAACAAATCTTCCCAGGCAGACTAATCAATTAGTTCACAACCTTTATTGGGATTCAGCTCCTGGGCGAGGTTCCCTGGTCCCAACAGAGCGGGGGCCAGGGAAGTCGCACATCAGAGGTTGGGAGGGCTCCTTTTATAAATACAGGGCGTAGGGGTTAAAGGTTGAGGCAGGTCTGATCCTCACTGGTTGACCTTTAGGCACCCGTGGTGACCTTGACAAGGACTTTTCGTCCCCGGAAGTTCGGGTAGGGACTCTCATTCCCGGAAGTATAGGCCTTCTCTCCTTGCTGAGCCCAAAGCTACTAATACGTTTAACCTGAGCATTTTAACCCAGGCTGTGGGCTAGGTCTGATCAGAGTTAAGGTAATCACTCAAATATTACAAATAGGTAGATAATGTAAACAACTTTGAGATGCAGTTCTCCCAATTAAGACTCAGTATTGGCAACAGAAAAACCTTCAAGACACTCTCATCAGCTAAATCAGCTACAGTAGCACAGAAACAACTGATTATCAGCATAGGAGCCCATTACTTTGGACAGTGAAACACATCATGATAGAAAGAGGCAAAGAATCAGAGACTCCTATAGGGCTGAAGGAAAAAGTTTCTGTCAGCTGCAGAAAAGAGAAAAACCCATTCAGTTGGTTGGAAAGAGTTAATGGATTAAGGTTTCTCTCTTGCTTAGCTGGGGAAACTTGTAAGGCCAGCTGAGTGGAGGCATTTCCCCCTCTCCCCTCACCTAGTTAGGATGGATATTGAATTGGAAATGGAGAGAGAGGAAAAAAGCCTGCAAGAGCTAGAGCACTCATCTCTTGCCAGACATTTCTGGCTATGCCCGGGTGGGTGCAGTAAGGCATTTTGACTGGAAGAGGGTGCAGGGAAAGGCTGTGGTGTCTAGTTTAAAGGGAAGGCTGGGCACACCTGGACCTAACAGAACTGGTGGTGGGGTTGGGTAGGTGCATTGTTTAGAAACTACCTACTGTTCTTGATCCCCCCCTATCTAGTTGATTACCTGGTGGGCCAATATTAGCCTACACTGAAGCTAAGTGTAGCTAAGCCCTGCTCCCATGGCAGCAGGGAGCGTGACCAGGCATCCTTCCAAGAGAGAGGCAAGGTCCTCCGGTTGCTGTCTGGTCACTGTCTGGCTGCCAGAAAGCCAAAGCGAACTTGGTGAGTCTCCAGACTCTCAGCCAACTGCCCTTTCTAGTTAAAATCTCTGGAATTTCGGCTGTGGCCGGAGCTGTGAAACACTGGGAGATCAGCAGTTGTTCCCACAGATCCATCAAGCTTGAGGGAAGATATGCAGACCTGGATGGAGTTTTCTTTTAATCCCTTCCTGATCCCTTCGTGAATTCCCTTGTGGGTTTCTTCACGAGTCCCTTTGTGATCGCCAGAAATATGTTATCGGAGAAAAGCCATGGGTTCTTGTCTTCATGTAAGAAAGAGAGAGACAGAGAGCAGAATAATAAGGTTTTATTGGGGACTGGGCATCCATCAGAATGGAAGGGATAGAGCGCGTCCACTCAGACTGGGGGGAAACAAGGTTACATGGTTGAATGGAGAGAACACACCTGGGCAGGCTAGGTGGGTGGCTCAGCAGAGAGCTGAGTGCCCATCATTTTTTTTTAGTTTGTAACAGTTACAATATATTTCATAGATAGAATTCTAAGAATATGATATTCCCTTTCTCCCTTCCTCTCCCTCCCTCCCTCCTCTCTTTCACTTTTGGGATAGCATATCTTTAGTTTACATTACAGTCTGGGACTCATTATAATAAAGAGTTCAACAAGTAAAAAGCAAAAAGACCCTAGTTTAGTGGAAATATATACTTGGCAATATTTCTTACATTTTGTCTTTTTGATGGTTACCATCTTGATTGGAGTGAAGTCCTTTCTTAATTGTAGTTTTGATTTGCATTGCTTTAATGACTAGTGATGTTGAGTTTTTTTTTTTTTTTCATATTCCTGTTGGCTATTTGTATTTCTTTTGAGAATTTTCTGTTTAGGCAGTTTTCTTGCTGTTGAGATGTTTGCGTTCTGTATATAAAATATTTCAGAGCAGTTTTTCTATGTAATGCACCAAGTAATTTGTAAAAATAGCATATAATAAAAATTTACAGGGTAGCGGAATAGATTGAAAAATGACAAAAAATAAAAATTTACACCAAATACACTTTTAATAAGCACAATAATGAAGCCAAGCAACTTCCAAAGTATATAATATTTTATATAAATATTTTGCCTTACTTCAGTCTTTTTAAGAAATTTAATATTCCTTATGCCACATTTATTCACATAATATTCAATGTTTAATTTGTGTTGATTTAATTTTTTTTTTTTTTGACAGGCAGAGTAGACAGTGAGAGAGAGACAGAGAGAAAGGTCTTCCTTTGCCGTTGGTTCACCCTCCAGTGGCCGCCACGGCCGGCGCGCTGCGGCCAGCGCACCGCGCTGATCCGGTGGCAGGAGCCAGGTACTTATCCTGGTCTCCCATGGGGTGCAGGGCCCAAGTACTTGGACCATCCTCCACTGCACTCCCTGGCCATAGCAGAGAGCTGGCCTGAAAGAGGGGCAACCGGGACAGAATCCGGCACCCCGACCGGGACTAGAACCCGGTGTGCCGGCGCCGCAAGGCGGAGGATTAACCTAGTGAGCCACAGCGCCAGCCAATATTTTTATTTTTTAAAGGTAAATATTTACATATACAGATTGAGTATCCTTTATGTAAGATGCTCAGGATCAGAAGTGTTTCAGATTTGGAAGTTTTTTTGATTTGGAATACTTCCATAAATTTAATGAATTGAACATTCTTAATGCAAAATCCAGAAATCCTAAATGCTCTGAAATCTGAAACTATTTGATTGTCATGCGAGCATTCAGAAAGCTTTGGATTTCAGAGTAGTTTGGATTTTTGGATTAGGGACACTCATTTTCTAAGTAAACAGAAAAGTCTGGAAAGACAACAGAGTAATTTTATTGAAATGATAGGATTATAATGGTTTCTTATACATCTTTTTTGCTTATCTATTCTGACTTTTCTATAATGAACATAGTTATCTGCACGTTTTGCATGTTGATCCTCCCTATAAATTGAATTAGGAAGAAATCCATTTTTAGTAGACAGAATGTATGTATATAAGTAATTTTGGCTCTGTACAATATGGATTATAAATGATAAGTGAACTTGAAAAGCTTATGTGTTAAAACATACTTTGGACTATAAATGTAGTTAGTATAAATTTTTAGCAAGGGTTTTTATTGCTGAAGTGTTTAACAATTACATTTTAGGATGTACCATAAACTTAACAAATTTTGAGCTCTTTTACTTATTTATTTTTGCCTACAGATCCTAATAGCTACTATCACCCATCTGTTGCCAAGTACCGAAGCTTCATCTTATGAAATGGACAAGAGGGTAATTTTTAATTTTTGTTTGATGTTTAATTTGTGATTATGTAGTAAAATAAATGTGTGTGTTTACATGGTGAAAATTAATTCACCTTGTACTCAGAAATCAACAGTAGTATTAAATATGTCTTTCCATTAGGTATAACTAAATTTTATTTCAGTTTAAGTTTCATAACCATTTGATAGTGTGTGAATGTCAAAGTTGCCAGGAACCTTGGAAGGCATCCTGTCTACTTAAAACTATCTTAAATCCTCCTGAATTATGGTCTTGTCCATGCTGGCAGTTAATTCTGAGATATTCCTCTCCTCTGAAGGCAATACAAAAGCAAAATATTTCCAGTAAGCAAAGTACATGTAAGATGTAGAGATACATTACTTAGGAGAAGACATTGCCTTTGTCTACCAAAAAGTTCTACGTGCATCCTTTAATTATTTCAGATATTGTATTTTTCAGTTCTAGATTTTCATTTTGAGTTCTTCTTAACACTTTTTATCTTTTTCCTAAAATTTTTCTGCATTTCTTCCTCAATGATAGAATTCTTCTCTTACAGATTCTTTAACACATTGTAATTAAAGTCTTCATCTGCTAAATGCAATATGTGGATCATCACGAAATCTGTTTCTATTGAATTATTTTTCGTTTGACTATGAATTCCATTTTCCTGTTTCTTCATATTTGTAATATGTTAATTTATTTAATTTCATATCAAAAACTATACATAATGTGTTGTAGATGGATATGGGCTGCCCAGTATAGTAGCTAGTAACCACATATGGCTTTAAGTTTAAATTAAACTAAAAGTTCACGTTAAAAATTAAATTCCACATTTGCACATTTCTTGTACTCAGTAACTGCATGGGCAAATATAGACCAGTCCTGTCACTGCACACAGTTGTGTCAGACAAGGCTGCTCTAAGTTCCACTAGTTTTCTCTGAAGATTACTCTGTCCCTTTCCCTCGTCACATTCCATTCTTAGGTTCTGTTCTCCAGGACTCAGTGCTACTACCTCTATTTTGTACCGTATTGAAATCTTACTTGTGTTTCATTTAGCGTTTATGTTCTGCTCATCAATTATAGAAATATGGGCTGATGCCACAGCTCATTTGGCTAATCCTCCACCTTGCGGCGCCAGTACCCCAGGTTCTAGCCCCGGTTGGGGCGCCAGATTCTATCCTAGTTGCTCCTCTTCCAGTCCAGCTCTCTGCTGTGGCCCGGGAAGGCAGTGGAGGATGGCCCAAGTGCTTGGGCCCTGCACCCCATGGGAGACCAGGAGTAGTACCTGGCTCCTGGCTAGAACCCGGTGTGCTGGCGCCACAGGTGCCACAGGCGATTAGCCTAGTGAGCCGCGGCACTGGTAGGAGCTAGTTATGTATCTGAATGTATTCCCAGTAATTTTCTGTGTTATATACGTGTCTGTTACACTTTGCTTTCCAAATTTTTTTTTTTTTTTTTTTTTTTTATTTTTATTTTTGACAGGCAGAGTGGACAGTGAGAGAGAGAGACAGAGAGAGAAAGGTCTTCCTTTGCCGTTGGTTCACCCTCCAATGGCCGCCGCTGCAGCCGGCGCACCGCGCTGATCCGATGGCAGGAGCCAGGATCCAGGTGCTTTTCCTGGTCTCCCATGGGGTGCAGGGCCCAAGCACCTGGGCCATCCTCCACTGCACTCCCTGGCCATAGCAGAGAGCTGGCCTGGAAGAGGGGCAACCGGGACAGAATCCGGCGCCCCGACCGGGACTAGAACCCGGTGTGCCGGCGCCGCAAGGTGGAGGATTAGCCTATTGAGCCACGGCGCCGGCCCTGCTTTCCAAATTAATCCTCTTTTCCATATAACGGATTTCATGAGTTCAACTCAGAATTTTTTCTTTCCCTTTGTATGTTCTATAAATCCCATTTGGACAGGTGGTGTAACTCTTAGTAAATTCTTCATCTTTCAAAGAAACATATTTAGGTTGGGTATCCCTTATCCAAAATGCTTGAGGTTATGTTTTTGAATTTAGAGATTTTAGATTATGGGATATTTGCATATACATCATGAGGTATCTTTTTGAATGGCTTAAATCTAACCAAGAAATTCACTTATGTTTCATATACATCTTATTCATGTAAGCCTGAAGGTAATTTTATATAAGAATACCTCAGACATTCTTGGAAAGTGGAATTAAAAGATGGGTGTACTTTGGTGTAAAAAATTTGAAATCTGCTACAGACCCAAAGAAAGTTAAATCACAGAAGTTCACAAAGTTGTTACTATCAGAGGTAAGAGTTGGAACTAAGATTGGTAGTTAGGTGCTGAAGTCCATATTCTTTTTATTTGGAAACATTAATTCAGAAGTTGCATTTGAATTTTAAGCTGGAATTTTTTTCTTTTAACATAATCTTAGTTGTAAAATTACAAAAAAGGGGACAAATAATTCATTTTATTATTTACCACATGTGCTTGATCCCTCTATATGTATATAAAGAAATGTATCTACTTTAATATTTTTCCAACAACCAAGCAATTCTCTTATGTAATGTGTCGCTCCCCCTCTTCGTGGAGGAACGACACAGGACCCTGCGCTGTTCTTTTGTCTGCTCGGCCCTTCCCGGGTTTGCTGCTGGTTCTTCCCGGGTTGGCTACTGTCCCTTCCACCTCCGTGGAAGGGCGGTTCCCCCTGGCCACTTTCCCCACTTCCGCGGGGGAGCGGCACACCGCCGGCCGGCTCTCTCGGGGGCTGCACAAGTGTTCCTTCAGATAGATGTTCCCCTTAGATGTTCCTGGTGCATGTTGTCTCTCTCCTCCTTGTCGCTCCCCCTCTTCGTGGAGGAACGACACAGGACCCTGCGCTGTTCTTTTGTCTGCTCGGCCCTCCCCGGGTTTGCTGCTGGTTCTTCCCGGGTTGGCTACTGTCCCTTCCACCTCCGTGGAAGGGCGGTTCCCCCTGGCCGCTTTCCCCACTTCCGCAGGGGAGCGGCACACCGCCGGCCGGCTCTTCTCGGGGGCTGCACAGGTGTTCCCTTAGATGTTCCCCTTAGATGTTCCCCATAGATGTTCCCTGGTGCATGCCGTCTCTCTCCTCCTTTATAGTCCTCCTCCGCCAATCCTAACTCGGCTGCCCACACGCCGAGTACGCTGCTCTCCTCCAATCAGGAGCAAGTCCTACAGTTTATTAGCTGAACTGGAGGCAGCTGTGCGGAAGCTGTTTACTTCTCTCCCAGCGCCATATTGTGGGAGAGCAGATGCATAGAATAAGTCTTAATTCCAGTAACTCAGTCCAGTCCGGATTGCTCCCCACACTCCTTTATAGTCCTCTTCCACCAATCCCAACTCTGCTACCCACACGCCGAGTACGCTGCTCTCCTCCAATCAGGAGTAAGTCCTACAGTTTATTGGTTGAACTGGAGGCAGCTGTGTAGAAGCTGTTTCTCCCTTCTCAGCGCCATATTGTGGGAGAGCAGATGCATAGAATAAGTCTTAATTCCAGTAACTTAGTCTAGTCCGAGTTGCTCCCAGTTGCTCCCCACATAATGGCAGTACAGTTGTCAACATTAGGAAATTAACCTTAGTGTTATATATCCTATATATCTTATTCATATTTTGCTGGTTATTTCAAAAATGTTCTCTGGCAAAAGAAAATCCTAAATCTTTGCATGCAGTCACTGTGTCTGTTTTTATCATTTTCTAATCTGGAAAGGGTCCTCAATCTTTCGATATGCAGTCTAGTTGCTTAGAATGTCCCACCATTTGGGTTAGTGTTCCATCATGATTACATTACTAAATTTCTCCATTATTAGGTTTAATTTAAACATTATTGATAGGAACACTTCAGAAGATACTGTATACCTTTTAGAATCTTATGTCAGATGACATATATATCAGCTTCTCCCTTTACTGATTGATGCTAACCTGAATCATTGAGTTAAGGCAGCGTCTACCAGGCATTTTCACTGTAAAGCTATAATTCAACCCTTTCTAATTAACACATATTTGCAGGAAGATACTTTGTGACTGAATAATATCCTGTTACTCCTTAAACTTTTATTAACTGGTTTTGCCAACCACTGATGACTCTCAGCGGAATGAATTATCATTATGGTAGTTGCCAAATGATGATTTCCTGATTTTAATCTTCCTTCTGCATTCGTTAGTTAGCTTTCTTCTGTTAAAGAAAGACTTTCCCTTCTTTCCTGTCCATCTGATTTCAGTGTGGGCTCATGATTCTTAGTATATGCATGTGTTGTCATCTGTAATGTCTTATTTATTTTGGTGTTTAAAGTTCTTTAAATTTAGCCAGTGGAGGCCGGCGCTGTGGCTCAATAGGCTAATCCTCCGCCTTGCGGCGCCGGCACACCGGGTTCTGGTCCTGGTTGGGGCACCGGATTCTGTCCCGGTTGCCCCTCTTCCAGGCCAGCTCTCTGCTGTGGCCCGGGAGTGCAGTGGAGGATGGCCCAAGTGCTTGGGCCCTGCACCCCATGGGAGACCAGGAGAAGCACCTGGCTTCTGCCTTCATTAGCGCAGTGTGCCGGCCACGGCGGCCATTGGAGGGTGAACCAATGGCAAAGGAAGACCTTTCTCACTGTTTCTCTCTCTCACTGTCCACTCTGCCTGTCAAAAAAAAAAAAAAAATTTAGCCAGTGGAAGCCCCTTCAGAGTAGCTTCCTTTTGACAAATCTCCGTTATTGTGTGGGCATTTTCTTTATCTGTCACCATAAGATTTTTCGGATCCTTCTTGTATTATCTGTGCCTCAGCATTTGAATTAGTCATTTCTCAAATGAACTCTAGTTCCATTGAGTGGGAAATGGTATTCAGAAATCAGCATCAACATCTGAGAACTGGGTATGCATATTGCTGTAGTCTATTTTAAGACCCTCTCAGCAACCAAGCTAGGAAATAAAAATGTATAAACAGAAATATATACATAGGTATTTTATTTTATACCCACATATATTTACATATTTATTTATATGTCTGCTATGGACTGAATATTTGTGTCTCTCCCAGGATCCCTATATTGAAAATGTAAT